CTGGTTGTAGTCTGCATGACCTCTGTCCCATCTGTAGCTGGTCCCACTTCTGGATACAAGGTGTGGGAACAGGAAGGATGGTAGACTCAGGCTTCGTGGGGTCCATCCTCATTCTGTGATCTTCTCTGCAGGAAGCTGGAGTTGCCACTTGTGTCTGGACCTGCTGAAAGAGAAAGCATCCATCTACCAGAACCAGAACTCCTCTTGATGTGGCTGTCCCCTGCTCTCCCCCACATCTAGGGTTGTTTCTTTCCTCTTATTTTTCACGCCCACCGTCCCTCCTCCATCTTTCACAAGTCCAGAGAACCTTGGGGTGGTTGTGCCAACCTGCCTTTGGCAGCAGCAAGCTAGGGTGGAGCTCTGACCACCTCTGGCCCCAGGTCCTCAGGGAGAAAGGAGCAGTGTGCTGCCCCAGGCTCACCTGCGGGCCCAGCTCCTCACTGCTCTCCATGAAGTGCATTCACTCGGCTTGCCTTGGGCCCAGGCCCTGCTTGTAACAGGGTTCACTTGCACAGCGTCCTCCAGGAAAGAGCAGCGCACTTCTCTCTGGGCTCTGCTTCCACTCTGGTCGTCAAGGTTTCCCGCCCCAAGGATCCGACCAGGTCTCTTGAAGGGGTTCTGGGAGCATGCAAGAGGCCAGGGCAGTACCTGCAAGCTTCCATGCTCTGTGCTGCTTGACCCCGCTGCCACCTCCCTCCAGAGAGGCCCACGTGACTCCCATTCCTGCTACAGAGGATCCTCGCCCAAGCCAGGACACTCTTGGTCACCCCTGCCTCAGCCCTGTCCCACCCTTCCCAGGGGGAACAGCAGTTTCACCCGGATTTCCCCCCTGTGCTCACTTGGTGTTTCTAGTGACCGAAGCATTCCCCACCTTCAGAATTTCCTACCTCCCCTCCTTGTTCCTTTGATTTTGTGGGAAGAGGGGAAGCACCAGGGGCCAGGTAAGCAGCTGGGGGCCACAGGGAGACAGATGTTGGATAATGTGCCTGTTTTTTATTGATGTAAAAGCCTACCTCCAAACCCCCTTTTTGTTCTTCCTGGACCTGGGCATTAACCCTCCTGCCCTTAAGTAGAGGCCGCCTCTGCCCCTGCCCTGTGCACCCTCCTTTCCAGGTCCCGGGGCCACTGCAGACATCCCTTTCTTCCCTTGCACGCTCACTAGCGTAAGGTCCTCACACCACAACCCCTCAATTTTCTGCCTGGTGGCACTGACCTTAAGTAGTTGGTGGACAGTCCGTTCCAGGGTACCCTGAAGTGGCCTTTCCTCTTGGCCATAGGCAGATGCTAATTAACTATATCGCTTTGGAGTTGAGGTCTTTCTCTCCCTCTTTAGTTCCTGTATTCTAAACATTAGTCCAAATAAACATTTTTACATGGAGACAGACATCTTCTGGCTGGTTTATGGCTTCACTTTGGCACAGCCAAGAATCCACTTTATCCTCGAACTCTCTTAGGGCAGTAGTGTCAGGGTTTTGAAGTATGACCTTTTTTTAATGCAAATAACTTTTTTTGTTGAACCCCAATATGTAAAGCAGACATAAAACTGATTTGTTTGTTTAGTAAGTAAATTGAAGTTTAAACCCATTCCTTGCTGTACAGGAGCAGTTAGGTTGTTTTAGGTGAACACAAAACTTGGGTTAAAGTCACTTTTAACTTCATGTATGAGTTTTGGTTGGTTCGAATGGAGGAAATGCTGCTAGGGTTGGTGGTGCCAGGTTTGTAACATTGACCTTGTAGACAACCAGCTACAGGAAGTTGATTATTTACCTTGATACTATAATGAAATGTGCAAAGAGCCGGAAGTAAAAAAATCAAAAGGCTGAACTCGCTCAGCGGTTCTTAAGCTGAAGGAGTTGAAAAACAAATTCAAACCACGAATGGCAAAAAGGATGCTTTGGGTAGAGTTTTAAAATGATCCAAGAAGCATTAAAATGAAGATGGAAGAAGTATATAGAGTCACAGAAGGAATTGGCTGACAAAGAAGAACTTCATGAAATAAGAGCAGGAGCCTGTGGTAATGAAGGAGGAAGTTCAAGTTGCTCTGAAAGAATTGGCAAAAACCAAGGCTCTAGGAGTTGACGGCATACCAATTGACATATTTCAACAATCAGAAAATGCCCTGGATGTGTTCATTTAAGTTGTGCCAAGAAATCTAGAGGACAGCCAGCTGGCCAACTGACTGGAAGAGATATAGTTGTTCCCATTTCAAAGAAGAGTGACCTGGCAGTGGGGAAGTTATTGAACAATATCATTAATATCACATGCAAGCAAGATTATGCTGAAGATCATCCAAAAACGACTGGAGCAACCTGTTAACAGAGAACTGCCAGATGTGCAGGCTGGGTTTAGAAGAGGCTGTGGTACTAGGGATATTGTAACTAATGGTAGATGGATCTTAGCAGAAAGAGAATACCAGAAGAATGTATCTGTGCTTCATTGGCTGTGCAAAGGTTTTTGACTGTGTGGATCACAACAAGCTGTGGCTGACTCTGAGAAGAATGGGAATCCGAGAACATTTGATTTTGCTAATGTGAAACCTATACTTGAAGAGGCAGTCATCAGAACAGAGCAAGGAAGAACTGCATGGTTCAAAATTTGGAGGAGGGTCCACCATGGATGTATTCTGTCTCCATATCTTTTCAATCTGTATGCAGAACAAATCATCCAGGATACTGGACTGTATGAGGAGGAATATGGCGTCAGAATTGGTGGAAGACTCATCAACAACCTGCGTTATGCAGATGACACAACCCTGCTTGTTGCAGAGGGTCAAGGACTGCAGCCTTCAATATGGATTGAAGCTCAACATCAAGAAAACAAAGATTCTCACCACTATGCCAATTGGCAGCATCAGTATGGATGAAGAGATTGAGATTATTAATAATTTTAATTTACTTGGCTCCACAGTCAACACTCTTGGTACCAGCAGTAAGGAAATCAAGAGATTCACATTGGGAAAGTCAGCTGTCAGGGACCTACCTCTCCAGAGTACTGAAGAGCGATGACATCAGGCTGGAGACTAAGTTGCGCCTGATCTAAGGTATAATCTTCACAGTTGTGTGCTATGCATCAGAAAGCTGGACTGACTAGGGTTGATAGACAATCGATGCCTTTGAGCTGTGGTGGTGGTGAAGTGTTGAATATACCATAGATTGCTAGGAGAACAAACAGGTTGGTTCTGGAGAGGGTAAAGCCTGGCTGTTCCTTGAGTGAAGGATTTTTTTTAAATTATTTTTTTGTGTGTATCGTCAAATCAGATCTGACTGGTACAGGAGGAGATTGTTCCTCCTTCTCCAGAAGAGCATCTGGTGGATTCAAACCGTGCACCTCTTGGATTGCAGTGCAGCTTCTTGCCAGTAGGCCACCAGAGCTCGCCAGAGTCAAGGATTCTGAAGCTTCGTCTGACATACTTAGGGCATGTTGCAAGGAGGGACCAGTACTTGGAGAGGGATGTCATATTTGGGAGAGGTAGACCCTCGATGAGATGGATTGATTGAGTGATTGGGGTAATGGGAGTAGGTGTGTTGGAGACAATGAGATTGGCACAGGAAAGAGCAGGGTTTAGGACTGTTGTACATAGGGTCACGGTGAGTTGGCAACTCAACAGGACGTAACAACAATGAAGAACATAAAGCACCCGAGATAAATGTCATCAAGATCGAACACGACCTTTGTCTTCAGTGAAAAGTGAACTCATGGAGTAGCCATGCCCTCTGCATGCTGGCACCACCCTGCCGGCCACAGACTGCAGATTCCGGGCATGTTGTTACCTGCAAGCTTCCAACTGAAGCCAACTCATGTACAACAGGACAAGACTGCCAGCTCCTGCTATCCTCCCGGTCCTTGCTGCACCAAGTTAAGGCCATGGCTATAGTCACTGCATAAGTCCAGCTCCCTGAACATCTTCCAGGTTGTGTGCTGACCTTGCATTGTATTAACCATGAAGCCTCCAGCAATTGGTCTGCTCTGGTAACAGGGTTCCATGCACAGATGTGAGTCCCTGCAGCCAGTGTGAATGATTTTGACAATCCTAAGTGAATCCTGATAGAAATCTCACTTGAGTGTGTGTGTTGAAGTGTTTTTTGTTTTGAATATTTGCTTCAGACAGTTCCAGACCCCCTAAAGTAGCAGGATTTTCAGAAACATTCTGATAAACCATTGTTGGCTGCTGAAAGACGATGGTCTGGGCCTCTTAGATGAGTCAGAAAGCTAAAAAACTTCTCAAACTGAGGGTTGCGTTAGGAACAGGTCTGGGTTTGCATGGAATTAGGACAGGAGCAGAGGGAGTTAAGCACGTGATCCTTGGTTGTGTCATAAGAGCCAGAAAAGGTGCTAAAGCACACGTGTGTGTGATCTGATTCATAACAACCTCATGGAACAGTCCTAGTGACCACTTGGGTCTTAGGATGTAACCTTTATGGAAGTGACTCCTCGTGGTGCTGAAAGCTAAGTGCTTCAAACTACCAGCAGCTTGACTGCTTACCCAATCACAAAATGGGCAAAACACATGAAAAGACTTTGCAAAGGAGGACATTTGGATGGTCAAGCAACATGAGGAAATGTTCAAAATCGCTAGCAGTGAGATACAAAACAGTGAGATAGCAAGAATTTTAAAAAAAAATGAGATGCCATCTCAACCCAACAGCAGTAGCAAAAGTTAACAAAGCAAGCAATAAATGTTGGTGAGGATGCAGAAAGATTGGAACTCTTAGCACTGCTGGTGGAACTGTAAAATGGTACAACCACATTTCCTTAAATAGCCAAACATAGAAATCCCATATGACCCAGGTATTCCACTGCTAGGAATATATCCCAAGGAAATCAGAACTGAGGCATGAATGGAATGGATATGTGTACACCTATGTTTATAGCAGTGTTATTCACAATAACAAGAAAATGGAAACAGCCCAAATACCTATCAACGAACAAATGGATTGAGAAATTGTACATTCACACAATGGAATACTATGCAGCACTAAGGAACGATTTCATAAAATATAACCTGGTAGACTAGAGAACATTATGCTGTCATATCCGGACAAATAGAAGGGCACTATTGTGAAAATAAGATAATTACAATATGTTCATAAGGGGAAGGAAAAATTACTAAGAGTAATCTTAGGGTTTGCAGTTGAGTGTTTAAACATTGCACCACCAGACATTGGTGAGAAGTGATTTGGGAAAGTTCACGCCCAAACCCACCTCCCTCCAGTTGACCCACCCTCACAGCCACAGCCTTACTGGACACAGTAGATGGAACTGCTCCGCTGAATTTCCAAGGCTGGAAGTAAACATACACCATGACTAGCTGAGGGATGCCAACTGCTGACTTTGTTAGCAGCTAAGAGTTTTTGTTTTTATTTGGAACTGAGAGTTTTAATGATTATGCCACTAGGACTCCTGGAAAGATTTGCAGGAGTTCTGATAAAGGATGGGGCTTGGAAAGCAGGATAGTGTCAACTGGTGGAACTGGGGATGGAAGGCAGGCTATGAGAGATACTATTACAGGGGCTCCAGCCCTTCCAGCTGGAGGGAGGGCGAGAGTGAGGCTGGGGAATCACTTGAAGTTACCCTGGGAGAGGCACCGGACTGTCGGTTAAGTGTATCTGTATTAATTTCAAACACCAAGCACAGGTATGGTATGGCTTTTAGCAAAGAAGGGGATATCAGAGCTTGATTTAGGAGCTTGAATCTAAAACTAAAGAAATGTGTCATAGGACTGAATGGGAGCGCTGAGAGATGGCGAGGTCAGCGCTGTCCATGGTAACTGGCATTTGTGTGGTTTCAAGTTTGCATCCATTTTCTCCATTTCCTCAAGGCCACTGAGAGATAACAGCTCTGTTGGAGAGCCGAGCGGAGGCTGCCAAAGGTCACGTCGAGGAAAGTGAGGGGATGCCCAGCTCTCCGTCCCCAACGGCACCCGGTAATTGGTGCTCCGCGGAGCCCGCTGGGCGGCCTCTGAGTCCTGGACTCCCGGGGCCCGAGCTCCGCCCCCGGAGTGCCCAGCGAACCGCCATTCTGAAATACCCAATGAGAGTCGAGCAGAGGCAGAACAGAGCGCCGTTGAGAGCCAATCGGAGCGGGGTGGGGCGGAGCTGCGGCAGCGAGCTCCGAGGGGCGCACGGCGGGCTCTACTGGGGGGTGGGGGGGGGAGACGACGGACACCCAGCGCGGGCTGTGCGCGCGGGCCTCAGTGTGCACGAGCCCGCCGCCCGCGCCGTCCTCACCTACGCGCCCGCTGCCGCCCGGGGCCGGCGCTCGGGACCAGGGCAGGGGCGGGAGCCGGCGGGGCAAGCCGCAGAGGTGGGTGCGGAATAGAAGGCCTGACGGAGGGCGGCAGGAGCCCGGGGCCGCCCCTCCGAGCGCCTGGCTCCAGCTCCTGGCCTGCCTGTGTCCCACCACCTCCCTCCCTGCAGGGACATATGCTGCTCGAGGCCTCTCCCCCCCCTTTGTCGCTTGTGCACCTGCCCCTTCGGCCCTAGTACCCTCATTCCCTCCAGATCTGACTTCGCTCAGGACCTAGCGCAAAATTTGGCGAAGTGCCCACCTGCCTGACCCACCTGCCTGACCTCCTTTGTCATCTGTGCACCTGTCACCTCAACTCGATTCTCTCTCTCTCTCTCTCACACACACACACACACTCTCATTCCAAACCCAGCTCAGGACAGCATGTCCCTCCTACCCCATCCTCCAGTCTAAGATTACCGTCCCAGCACCTGCATGCCCAGCCCACTCAGGGCTGCCTACCTGGCCCCTTTGTTGTTTCTGCCTCTGTTCGTCCTTCTGCCCCACTTATGCCTACCTGCAGCCCAAGGCCACATCCTTCTGGCCAGATACCCCTCTGCTCAGCTGTGAGGTCAGTGCCGAGCCTCTTCACCTCTTCCCTAGTGGGAGCCTGTCCCTAACCAGAGCCCAGTCTCCCCTGATAGCCCCACTCACTCACCCCCATTCTCCCATGTCTCCTCTGAGCCCCACTTCCACCTTCCTTGGCCCCATCTGATCCCTTCCTCCCGCACAGGCCACGGAGAACCATGAAACTGAGCAGCAAGAAGAAGCTGCACGCCCTGTGCCTGGCCGAGAAGATCCAGGTGCTGGAGCTCCTGGGCGAGTCCAAGATGTCCCAGTCAGAAGTGGCCCGGCGCTTCCAAGTGTCGCAGCCCCAGATCTCACGCATCTGCAAGAATAAGGAGAAGCTGCTGGCCGACTGGTGCAGCGGCACCGCGAACCGCGAGCGCAAGCGCAAGCGCGAGTCCAAGTGCAGCGGCCTGGACGAGGCCCTGCTCTGCTGGTACCACATCGCGCTGGCCAAGGCCTGGGACGTCACAGGGCCCATGCTGCTGCACAAGGCCAAGGAGCTGGCCAACCTCATGGGCCAGGACTTTGTGCCCAGCATCGGCTGGCTGGTCCGCTGGAAACGTCGGAACAACGTGGGCTGCGGGGCCCGCCACGTGCTCTCGCTCCCCTTCTCCAGGGAGCTGCCCATGTCAGGGCTCTGGCCTCCAGCCTCGCCGCCTCTGTCCCTGAGAGACTTCTCCCCGGAGGACGTGTTCGGCTGTGCCGAGGTGCCCTTGCTGTACCGGGCGGTGCCGGGCCGCGGGGGCGCCCTTGATGAGATCCGGGTGCTGCTCTGCGCCAACAGCAGGGGCTCGGAGAAGCGGCCGGTACTGGTGGCGGGGCGCCAGGCCACCCCGAGATGCTTCTTTGGGGTCAACAACGAGGCACTGCCTGCCTCCTACCACCCCGAGCTGGGCATCCCGTGGGCACGGTGGCTGGCGCAGTTTGACAGGGACATGGGCCGGCAGGACCGCCAGGTGGCCCTGCTGCTGGCCGCCCGGGTGCTGGAGGCGGGGACGCGCCCGGCAGGCCTGCACCACGTGCGGCTCCTCCCGCTGCCCGCCTCCGGCGCCCCGCCCGCCCTGCCCGCCGCCGTGGTGCGCGCCTTCAAGGGCCATTACCGCCGGCGGCTGCTGGCCAGGCTGGCCGCGGTCCAGGGCGAGCGCGGCGACACCTGGTCGGCCGAGGCCGCGGTGGGCGTCACAGTGCTGGACGCTCTGCACCTGGCGGCGGCCGCCTGGGCCAAGGTGCCGCCTCGGCTCATCCTCAGCAGCTTCATCCGGGAAGGGCTTGCGCCGGGCAAGGCACCCCCGTCCCCGGACAGAGCCCGTGCAGCGTCGCCGGCGCCCCGCGGGCTGAGCCCGGAGGAGTTCTCCCGCTTCGTGGACCTGGAGGACGAGGAGCCGAACCCCGGAGTGTGCAAGGAGGAGACGGGCTGTCCAGAGGACCAGGCCCTGCCCACCAAGGCCGACGCCCTCCGCGCACTGGGCACACTGAGGAGGTGGCTCGAGTGCAATGGCACTTCCGGCGACATCTTCGAGAAATTCTACAACTGCGAGGAGGAGGTGGAAAGGCTCTGCAGCCGGTGAGGCCAGGCCCGCGCGTCTTCCCCGGTTTCCATGGAAACGCCTCCTCCTCCGGGAGGCGCAGCCCGGGCTCTTTCCTGTGCAAATGCGGCTTCTGGGAAAAGCCCGGAAAGGAGAGCTGACCACGCCCCTGACAGTTTTACAGATCCTAAGGACGGGGAGTCTGAACCCCTGCTGGAAAGCTCTAGAGCCTTAGAGAGGGAATTCATCTCGGGTGACTTGGGAAGGTTGAGTTTGGGCTTCACAAACTGGCAGATCTCTGTTGAGCTCTCTTAAAAACAGTTCTGCCGCTGGAAATAGTTTTCCTGAGAGAAGAGGCCAGGATGCACGTTCCTGGGAGTAGAGAGGAAGCGTTCCGTGCAGATTGGGACGTTATGAGTCTGGATCACTTCACTTGCACATTGCGGAGATAACGGTCACAGTGTTTCAGACACAAAGGTGGACCTATTAGGACAAGAGTCAGAACTTAGATGAGTCATGCATTTCTCTTTTCATTCGTTTACTTCACACCATCTCAGCAAAGGCCTCCTATGTCATGAAGACAGGTAGACAGAGAAGGAGTGGGACAGACGCGTTAGGCCGAGAGTGGAGATGGGGGGGGGGGGGGAAGGAGCAGAGAGCAGGCAGTAACAAAGGAGGGGACAGGCATTAGTGTGAGGAAGGGCCAGTGAGGAGGACAGGTCTGTAGCCCACAGGCCGAGTGTAGGGACAGGTCATTCTCGGAGTTGTAGAATGGTAACTGGGATGGTAAAGGGTGGCCCTGTCCTGTGAGCCCTGAAGAGAGTTGAAGGCTGAGCCAGGTGGGGGGGGGGGGGCAGGTGGGAAGATGAGGGTTTACCAGGAATGGACGTGCACCTTGGGCCCAGCCTGCCTGGTGAGGAGCCCAGCTCAAGTTCAGATCCTGTGTGTGATCTTCCAGGCCCAACCTCAGGAAGTTACAAGGCTCCAAGTGGCTGGCAGTTGTCTGTGGGAGTTGCGGTCAAGGTCTATGTCTCTCTCCCTCCCTCTCATTCCCAGCACACCTGCATTCCTGGCTGGAGCTCCATCCAGAGGCCCCTCCCTCCGGCTTGGCCTAGACACTGCTCTCCACCAGGGCTCAGTCCCTGCCCACTTTCCCCAAAGGAACTTTGTCAGACTCCCAGGCAGTGCTCCAGTCACTGACCCTGACGCAGTACCATTCTGTGGGGAAAGATGGAAGGCCAGGAGCTGGCACTGAATGAATAAAGGCTTGATCGTGACTGGTGGATTAGCTCCTTTTCCTAGCTGACCACCTCCACACCTCGTGGTGACCAGGAACAACTCCAACACAGTCACTCCTGAACATGGAGGCCTCCTGCCGCCTTCCATCCAAGGTCTAGACTTAAAACCATCTTGCAAATCCTCTTTCCTCTCATAGAGCTATTCTGCTTACTCTGTTCATTTACATTTACAATTTTCTTATCTGAAATCTTTCCATTTCTGACACATGGAAACTAAATAACACTTTCTCTGAAGGTCTGGCTAAAGCAATAAAGAGTGAATGGGTTACTTCTCTGTACCTGTTGGCAGTATAATATAGTAAAGGCCCAGCAGCGATGGTGAAGATAATGAGTATACCATGCACTATCAAAAGAGCATACTAATTGTCTCGGGAGAAGTGCGGCCAGAATGCACCTTAGAAGCCAGAATAGTGAGACTTCATCTCACGTACTTAGATATGTTATCAGGAGAGGCCAGTCCATGGAGGACATCATGGTTGGAAAAGTAGAAGATCAGGAAAGAAAGGAAGACCCTCAAGGAGGTGGAGCAGTGGGCTTCAACACCGCAGAGATTGTAAGGATGGTGCAGGGTTTAGTCCTGTTGTACGTGAATGAGGTCACTCAGAGTCGGAATCCACTCCGTGCCCCCTAAGAGCAATAGCAGTTTCTTGTTGACTTCTTATAAAAAGAGTGGGACAGCTGAGACTGACTGTCACTAACTCCACGATTTGTATCAGTTCAGGCATGTCTTGCACCTTCCTCTATCTCTTCTGCCACCAACTGCTCCTCCCAGAGCTCTTGCTGTTCTGCCACTGGGTTGGTTGATCCATTGCAATAGTTGCACAACTCACAGGTTTTATTAGGAAAGTTAAAGTTTACAATTCCAGTTTGGAACAGCTTCAGTCAGAACTAGTTCTTAAGGGGGCTTGCAGGCCCTTTGATCATCAGCTTGTCTTTAGTTCAATGTTACAAAGCTTAGTTCTGCCAATAATGGGATCTCATCTCTCCCCTCCCTCCTCTTTGGTTCTCCAGCAAGCTGGGCCCTGAAAGATATGCACTGCATTCTCTGTTTCCTTTTTCGTGCTGGTGGCAAGATGCCCATTTTTTTCCTAAACCTGCTCAGTTTAAACCTGGCAGGATGGCAAAACTGTCCAGTCCTGTTATTAGCCCCCTACAGTCCTGCATGGGCTGCAGCTGGATCTGCAGAGGACTGCCCTGTGCCGTGATGTCTGTACGCTTGCTTGTTGTTATGGTTTGCTCTTAGGGATACAACACTTACCTGTCAGTTTGTTGTATGGAGGGAATGATGTTACCTGTTGCTGCTTATTTTACAGTTCAGGTATGTGTATGTTTGCTTGTTCATCTAAGAGTACAGCACTTGCCTGTGAGTTTGCTGTACTTGAGTGACTCACAGGTTCCTTCGATGCTGGAAGCTAAGCCACTGGTATTTAAAATACTAGCAGGGTCACCCATCGTGGCCAAGTTTCAGCAGAGTGCCCAGATTGAGACTAGGAGGCAGAATTGGCTATCCATTTCTGAGATAAAAGGCTTGTGAAAATAGAGAAACAGTATGAGAGTACTGGAAGTAATGTCCCAGATTAGAAGTCACTAAATAATGAGGAGAGAGGGAGCTCCGGTAGCCTAGTGGCAAGAAGCTGCGCTGCATTCTCGAAGGCCTGGGGTTTGAATCCATCAGATGCTCCACTGGAGAAGGAGGGGCAATCTCCTTCTGTGCCAGTCTGATCCAACTCGATGGTACACAACTGGGGCGGGGAATGAGAAGAAACAGGTGCAAATATCCATGAATAATTGGAATGCGGAATGTATGAAATATGAATGTAAGAAAAAAGGAAGTTGTAAAAAATTAAAATAGGATGTATAAAGATCTACATTCTAGGAATTGTTGTTGTTGTTATGTGCCGTCGAGTCGCCTGCGACTCATAGCGACCCTATGTACAACAGCCCTAAACTCCGCTCTGTCCTGTGCCAATC